ACATCAAAATACGTGGCAGAAGCGAAGGGCGTGGGTCTTAGTCGAGCTGGCGGTATTTATCGCGCCATCTGCACAAAAGACGCAGGTTTGAATAGAAGTCAGGGATGGTTCAGACGACGTGGCGCTGTTCGTCATGGAGATGTGCTGTGCGGCAGTGTTTGCGATAGACAGAATCACCGTCGTGGGTAGGAGAACAGCCACAACCAGGAGCCCCAAACTCTGCTCGTGCTACAACACTCCCTATGGGTAATTTTGCTGTGCTCTAGAATGAAACTGCGATAGTTAGATCGCCACACTCTTATAGCGCTCTAGTACTGCTGTCGTTGCATAATTTTTTATTAAAATTTGATGCTCTTGTTGACTGCGATACTTTTAAATTTGCCACCACACGTCCGTAATAATTTGTGTATTTGCATCCAGTTACTTTACTTCATTCAGATTTTGCTTTGTTTTATTAAATTTGTGACATACAAATATTTGCATTGATTCAGAATAGAACGTTTAATTTGATTTCATTCAAAGTTTCTTTTTGTAACTGAGCGCTAAGGTCTTCAACCTGCGCAACTTTTTTTTGTTTTTTTTTTGTCAGTGGAGGAATAAATCATTATTATGCCCTCCATATATGTTTGTGTTTTATTTAGCGGTACTTTTCCAACTTTAGGGTCCACCACTTGCATCTGAACGCAACGTAGGTACCATTTTGTTAGACGATCACAGCCAAGGCCAAATTTTTGAATTTTTCGGGGGCTTTTCAATTTTTTTTTCACATGTCAATTTAAGGCGGGGTGTTTGGGTTATCACAATACCTACCCCTGCAGTTGTGGTTTATGATTTTTGAAAAAAATAAATAAATAAAAAATTTATAACAACATATTTTACAATTTAACTTTGAAACTGCAAGAAATCTTGCAAACGTTTTACGGTTATCGTAGTCGTCTAACATACAGTGGCGGCTCGAGACCTTTTGAAATGGGGTACACAATTTGATTGATGGGTTAAGTATGAAAATATAAAAGCAGGCTGTTATTACCAATTAATAGACGAAACTCTGTGACGGAAATAAATACAAAAATACATACAATAAAAGTACAAAAATATTTGTTTACATATACATACCTTTGGTTTTCACTCAACTGTTAGGTGAGGACTAAGGAGACAAAACACAACAATTTATCCTACGTGTTATGTCTATTAAAATATCTATGAAAGTCTCTCCCTAAATTTTTCACTACAATATTATCATTGTAAGCCAGAGGACGATTTTTATTAAATATTCAACTGAATTCATTATATTTATTTACAATCAAACAATTTCACTAGCACGGAATGAAAATAAACTTCCGTAGTTGAATTACTGCTAGCAGGTCACTATTTCAAATGCGACACGATTCCAGCCAAATACAGCGACTAGAGGCGTCGTTTCCATGGCAACGCAACGGTCTAAACAAAACGTTTAAATGAGTCATGATTTTGTCGAGACCTTACCAACGATCTTTAAATGGAAGTTTTGATACATCTGATACAAATGAAGTTAGATAAAAAAAATAGTTTTGATAATTATGACACAAACTTCCGGATAATTTTTTAAACATTGAAAATTACTGTCTTGCTATTTCCACTGCGTTTGTAAACGTTGTAATTTTCAGTGCCCTTGTGCCCTCTGGCACTAGCCGCCTCTGCTAACGTATATAAATAAGTTACACAAAATTTATCCGTTACGACTTCATCTCAAAAGTTTTCACCCTAGACATCCAGATCTTGAAAGACAAATTTTGCCGATTAAATCCTGTCTAAAATGTGTAAAATATAGTTGCGGTTTATCAATGCATTCATACTTTTTAGAACTGCTAATACAGGCAGATGATAAAAAAAATGGTCTAAAGAGTTTAGACAGTACTTCCCTCGCTGTCGGAAACGTGACGACTGCATGTCTATTACGTTTTTTTTCGCAGTAGATTTCAAAGCATTCGGTTTTGTAGTTCCTGAGTAAATCAATAAAATAAATTTTCGCATTCATTATTTTTTTTGAGTCACCCGGTATATGCAAATTCAAAAAATATGAATGGAATGATAAATTACAAGTACAGACTCATCATATTTTGTATATTCTAGATAGGATTTATTCGCCAAACTTTTGAGCTGACGTCATCAGTTTTTTGGAGAAGATAATCAAATATATTTTGACTAAAAATTTATTATGCTCTTTATAACCTTAAAACATTTGCAACATTTCAAAACATTCGGTTCTGGAGTTCCTGATTAAATCAATAAAATACATTTACGCATTCACTAATTTTTTTGGGTCACCTTGTATATGCAAATCCAAAAAATATGAATGGAATGATAAATCACAAGAAAAGACTCATCATATTTTGTACATTTTAGATAGAATTTTTCAACAAAATTTTGTGGTGACGTCATAAATTTATTTAGGAGGGACGACCAAATACATTTTGATCAAAAATTTACCATGCTTATGATAATTTTGAAACATCTTTAAGATTTCAAAGCATTCGGTTTTGTAGTTCCTGAGTAAATCAGTAAAATACATTTACGCATTCATTAATTTTTTTGAGTCACCCTGTATATGCAAATCCAAAAAATATGAATGGAGTGATATATCATAAGCACAGACTCATCATATTTTGTACATTTTAGATAGGATTTATTCGGCAAACTTTTGAGCTGACGTCATCAAGTTTTTGGAGGGGATAACCAAATATATTTTGACTAAAGACTTATGATGCTCTTTATAGCCTTAAAACACCTGCAACATTTCAAAAGATTCGGGTTAGCAGATTCAAAATTAAATTGCAAAATGTTGTTTTATAATTTTGATTTTTTTTTTCAAAAATCTGGACGTTTCGGGTAAAAACTCAATTCGGAGTCGTAAACTACATGTTTAGGACTATCTTATTTTATACAATTTAAAACCCATTTACTATGTACAATTTTGAAGTGACGTCATCGCATTAGTGGTGGCGATGATCAGACAAATTTTGTTTAGCGTTTTACCATCTACCTGATATTCCTAATATAACTACAAAATTTCACAACAATTGGTCCAGTACTTTCGGAGATTATCTGTCTAATAAAAATCCGGGACGGCAGACAGACGGAAATGGGAGACCTATTTCTTCGTCTTTTAGGGGTCATGAAAGATCGAGAAAACGAGAAAACGTAAAAGTAGAGAGTGGGCCGACGGACTCGATTACAATACTTCCTTTGCTTACGCTCGGGAAGTAAAAATGAATGTGGTAATTTGTTTTAGTGAAGAATGGGTCACCCCCTTTTTGCACAAAATTTGGGGATTCTGTACTGTATTATTATATTATTATTATACTGATCTACCTATTCAAATTGACATAGACAACGTGTCCTTGGTAAAATGTTGAAGACGTCATCGCATTTTTTTTTTTTTTGTATAGGTTTCTTTACCATTATCAACTTTAACACTACACACATATTTTTATTTTTATTTATAAAGGTTGTCATAAAAAGTAAAATAATTTGCAAAATTAGATTTGATATTTTTTTGAAAGAGCTGAATATGTTATTGTATGTTTAGGGGCGAGGGAAATTCTGTCCAAGTAACTTTAAACCAATTTTTTAACTTCTGCAAATTAAAGTAAAACATGTAGACAAAAAAACCTTGACTATTAATGATTGTGATTTTTTTGTCAAGAGGCATACCTGATTGTCAAGATGAAATTTAGGACACTAAAAAAGTCATCTACTCATCACGTTTGTAAGGTGCGTTAAAGCACTGCTTTCAAAGTTAACAAATGATACATTAACATTGCTGTCATTAATTCAGAACTACCACTACACAAATTTTCTTCAGTAATTTATAATGTCCAGAAAAAACTGTTGGGCAAATGATCTCTAAGGGACAGTTTTTTGATGTTTTTTCGACGTTCTTATCTTTTTGTTTGCGCTTCCCGTTGTAGGGAGAATCCTTTTGAAATTTTTAAGTATAACTCACAGTAAAGCGAAACTAAAATTTGCCAGTTTTTCTGCTCCAAAAAAATCAGTAGTGTCGTCTCGAAATCTTATTAGATGAATCTTACTTGAAATTTTCATGATTAAAATGTACACAAACGGTTATTTTCTTAGGCATCACATGCCAATGTGTAGATTTTGTCGTTGTTTTAAATTGAAACCACTAATCAAAAAGAGATAAAAACATAAATATACAAATTTTTCCACTTTACTCTGCGGAACATTGTGTAAAATACAACGAACTGAAATAAGACAATTTTTATAAAACAAAAAAAAAAAAATTGCAACATGGGAAAGCTAAAAATACTCCGTCTGGTTGCTTTGATTGTAGATAAAACAATATAAACAGGCAATGCGTATGTAAAGTACGAGCATACGTCGTTTTTTGGTCTATAACAGTAATCTAAATCTAGTCGCATAAGCCAATGTGCTGTTATTTTTGAACCGCTGTTAAAATCTCTTTGGAACCTACTTCCACTCTCTGAAAATGTGTACAGCGTATATGAAATGTAATCTCCCATATGTATAAATACATTGTCACTGTAACAGATACAAACAGTACGATATTTTCTAATTATACAAAAACAGATAAATCAAATTTACCTCTGAAGTCACTATTAAAACTTATGAGTTTCCGAAAATAATCTTAGAAAACATAAAACCCGAACCTGTTGTGTAAAATCAAATAAACATCACCTATGATTGTTCACATTTGACTGAAATAATTTATTTTAATTTTCTGTTAGCCCACGTTCTTATCCGAGTTGTCATAAAAAATTACGTTTCAAGTACCCAAAAAAATATTAACATTGTCATCTTCACATAAAAATTGATGACGTCATTCAGTACATCTTATAATCAAGTGACAATCTTTCTACACAACATGAAAGTAAAACTGCAAGGTCTCATGTGTTTATGTCAATAACAGCACTATTTCTGATGGTTTTTAATAGTTTTAATTGTTATTGGTTGTGAAGACGGGAGGATTTAAACAAAACTTCTTTCATGGTAGATACACGTTTACTAAGCATCGTATAGGCCATGATCAGCCTTCCTACTAAATAATGTAACTACATCGTTGTATATCTTATTCTATCTTAACAATAAATTAGCAAATACCAACTTGAGTTAACCTGGCATCTATATCAATTTGTATTTCGAACTGTACATCAATAGCTTAATTTATATATAAAATTTAAAAAGTGTAGATCAATCCATCCTACATTTTGCCATTCTTTTTCTGAAATAAAAAACTGATGATATTAAAATAGTATTCACCATCTCGTATTTACAAAACCAACTGAAAACTGAGTTATGTTTCTTTGATAACATTAAAAATGTAATCCTTCTATTGTACAAATTGTAAGGCTTTTTATTAAATATTAAGTATAAATCTTCCCATATTCCACCTTCAATGTCATCAAAGTGGCACAATTACAAAGCTAAACTGAACAGTTTTACACTATTATATTTTATATTAATTTTAACAATAACATGTTAACCTGTTGTTTCTGTATACAACACTATCTGACAAAAAAAGTATATTATACAAATAAATAAAGCACACCATGAGTTAGTTAATTAACTGAATTGTTTCTTTTCACCGTCACTCTTCATGACGTAAGCAGTCTTTGGTATATAACTTATTAAGTACAATTCTTTAAAAATATTACAGTCCCTTATAGTCAGGACAGACAATCACAATGTATCGACATCATCCATTTGCCCCCACTTCCAACAAATGAACAACGTCCAGATAGCAAAGAAACAATCCAGGACCGGCTCAAAATTAACATGAACCGTCACATCTTAATTACTAATCACCCAAAAGTTAAAATCAGCAAACTCAAAAGTGCTATTCGCCGCCGCCCGTCACCGTCACCTCTCTGAATATGTTGTTTTCAGTGGGTAGTGCTTTGTTCTCAAGAACGGGCGAATCAGGCAGACTTGTATCTGAATCTTCTTTGTGATTTTCGGACTTTTCCTCTTGAGTATTTTTCTCTATGGTTGGGTCTTCCTCTTCTTCGGGAATTGTTTGGGATACTTCTTCTGTCGAGGACGTCCTCTCCGACTGAGAAATGCTCTCGTGCAATTTTATATCCTGAAATTTTTCGTGAGTTTGCCTATTTTTACGCTTGCGGTGATACCAACCTGTGCCCTGACCGATATCATGCCGTCAGGAGAACCGTCCTCGCCGCAGGGCCGCAACACTAGGTAAAGGAGAAGATCGGATAAGGATATTATTCCTATGACTTTGTCGTCGTCGTCAACTACCACTAGCCTATGCACCTGTAAACAAAGAAAAATGTTAAGTCGGAAATTTTAGTGAGTCATTTTTGTTTCTATTGTTTGCAAAAACTTTCTCAGCTTCTGACCTCACTTAAATTAAATTAAAAATAGTATTCTAATTTTACAAAATCTGAAAGTTATTTACACAGCAACCACTGAAAATATATGTTATTAAAGGTTTATTTTTAAAAAGGATTTCGATGATGATGTCATCAATTTTGTGGAAGGGATAAATATGCTGTTGTCCATAATTTTTAAAAATAAAGAAATATATTTACTACAGTACACGGTATGCCGCCTCTCAAAGCTTAATCATAAATACATATTTTATTTGGTGGGGATAGGATAATTTGTCATATACAACTTAACACTAAGTGTTATCTATCGAACTTGTACCGCATTTTTGGAGAAAATGAATAAATCAATTTTAATTCATGTTTTATAACTAAATACATCGTAAAATTTGCTCGTAAAAATGTTACTATTTTAGGATAATTGATATTAAAGATAAACATGAAGTTATTAAATCAGGTTCTAAAGACTAGGCCCGGTTTAAAAACGACGTCATCAATTTTTCGGATATAGGAGGTCGGTTTTAGTTTCATTAATAATGAAGTTACCAACAAACGACAAACATTCAACAAAATGACCTTATTTTTTATACAATCATAGTGTTTTAAAATTGTAAATGTTCATAAGCTGAAATTTGTAGATGTTATTTTTGGGAATCTACTTTCCATATTTAAATTAAAGAGCCAAAACATGTGTCCAAAACTAATGTTGGGGCGGATATGGGCTATGGTAATCTCGCCTTGACGTGACCTACCACAAGCAATGGAATTATTGACAATGAATACAAATAAACCATTTTTGAAATGGGTAGACTATCAATTAATTTCTGCTTTGTCTCGGCTAGAACCAAAATGGTAATGGTTATAGTGAATGTGTAGTGTCATTGAAATTACAAGATAATACAAAATACGACGTTACTAAGGTGAATTGATTCAGTTGCCATGAGAAATATGGGTAAATATATGTATAAAATAAAACAAAATTAAACTTTTTGTTTACTTCATTAAAAATGTACAAAAAAGTACTGTTTGAGTTGGCAATAAAATGATTCAATTCTGAGAGAATTTTCTTGCGTAGTTGTTGCCAACAGCTGATTCAAATACTTGGAGCTATATCACTTTTCAGGGCTCAAGAAAGCTTGGTTACGACATCAAATGTCAATTAAATGTCATTATCAACCATGTCAGTTTTGACAACATGAAGTAAGGTCTATAAATTTCAAAATTCATTGATACCAATTAAAACAGTACTTCTTGATCATAGGGCATCTCATAAATGAAGTAGAAAACCGGCAAACCAGCTCAAAGTAAATGTCGGAATAATACTGACAGACAAAAAACAAAAAACTATTCCACCGAATCAGTTTGTCCAACATGAAAGAAAAATAACAATGTCTAATTTACTCCAAACATTGTGGTGACCGAATTAGAATCAAAATTTCGCGCTGAAAAAAATTAACAGCGGCACAAAATCACATTCGCATAATTTGAATAAAAAAAAAAAAAACCAAAAAAAAAACCGTTAAACATAGACAACCAAGTGCACGTTAATGCTTTTTGGGTAGTTGGTAGCTCGCTGGGGATTTTAGTTAGATGGTTGGTAGACAAGATGACGGCATGGCGAAAGCATGGTGAAAAAACGCTGTAAGTTAGCTAGGTTAAATTAGTTGGTTTGGTAGTTAATAAAAGGCAGGAAGCCTTTGTTTAACGACAATTAATCGTAATGATAACGACGCGACGCCACAGTTTTCCCCAACACGCGCAGCTTATTCTTGCGGGTTTCTAATCGGATAATGTGAATTTTCGACCGACGCCAACACGTCTAAATTTAATTCATTGTTTGTGAATTCACAGTTCATGTTAGGATTTTAATCGTTAACTAGTTCTAACACAATTTAACGGAGATTAGGTTTATTTAGATAGACACTCACAAGATATTTCATGAGAATTCACGTAGTCAGGACTCGTTTGATTTTGTTTGTCTAATTATGAATAAGTTTTCTGGATGCATATACTTAAGTGTTACATTATAACACTTCTTAATTTCTCACACAAGATCGCTAATAGTTCAATAACGGCAGTTAAACCAATCTAACTCGCAACGTGGAAAATTACATTACCGTGGCATTTCCTCGCAACGTTAAAAATTACATTACCGAGGAGTTTTTCTCGCAACGCCCGATGCATTTTTGTGTTTATTTATTACGTGTTTTGTTGGGGTAACCAGTCTACGATAAACTCTCAAAGTTAATTGTTTTAAGTAACCGATCACATGGATCAAGACGTCAACATAATGTAAACTCTTTGTTTGAATCGTTAATAAAGTGTAGCAAATATTGATCTCATGTAATTTTATTAGCTTTGCAATTTTTCACCTCCTACAATTTTTCTCTATCTCACAATTTTTAACTTCAGTAATTTTTCTTTGTTGTACAATTTAAATTGACCGTAAACTTTCATGCACTGCAGTTTCTAACTTCACGTAATATTTTATCTTCACAAGTTTATTTCACACCAGATCCTGTTTTTATAAATCTTTGCTAGTTTTTTTTTTATGTAAATATTTTGTTGATGAATGTTTCCATCATATAAATTATCTGATGTCCAATCTTAATATCAAATAATAATTAATTATTCTTTAAAATTTCACAAGATTGTATGGTGAATATAAATGTTGTTTATTGCTCTTATTGAAACTTTCACGCTTGTTCAATTGTAGTTTAATATTAGAGTTGTATTTAAGAATTGAACATAATGGTATTGAGGTTAAATAACACAGAAACACGTGGTGGAAGCTGAATGCGCGGTTCCTAGTCGAGCTAGTGGGATTTATCGCGCCATCACACACAAAAGGTGCAGGTTAGAATAGAATTCAGGGGCGGTCGAGATGACGTAACGGCCTGTTCGTACGGCTTGTCCGTAATAGAGAATTGTTGTGCGGTATTTTTGTTGTGCTCTAGAATGAAGTTAACATAGTTCGATCGCCACATTCTTATAGCGCTCTGGTGCCGCTACCACTGCATTGTTTTTTTTTTACTAAAATTTTGTGCTCTTGTTGACTGCCATAATTTTAAATTTACCGCCACATGTCTGTAACAACTTGTGTATTTGCATCCGGTTACTTTATTGCTTTGTTTTTATTAAATTTGTGATTTTGAAATATTTGCATTGATTCAGAACGTTTAATTTGATTTCATTTAAATTACATCCAAAGTTCAATAAATTTTGTGTTTTATTTAGCGGTATTTTTCCAACCTTGGGGTCCACTATTTGCATCTGAAGGCATCCCGCCAGATTTTAAAAAACAGCATACAGCCAAGGCCACATTTTGATTTCTTGAATTTATCGCGGGATGTTTGGGTTATCACAGAATAATAGGTAATAATGAATTGTAACTATTTTAACGTAAATCACGTAACTATCACATTGAATGGAATGAGGATAATTTTCAAAATCAAGCCAAGACACATCTAAAATTAACTCAGAAATTAATTAATGAAAATGTGTATTTTTGTACTTTAATTAATTCTTTGTGTTAAATCCGGCGTAAAAAAGAATGGAAAGCTTTGAAATATTATTCAAATTATTAATAAACAGACGAGGATTAAACATTTAGCTTATTATACACAATATAGTAGACGTTTATTTGAGATGTAATTCATTAGCAACGACAATAAGTAGGCGTTAATATATATTTAAATGAAAACTGAAACGTTAGTGAGTGAAGACAAATATACTCCAGTCTAGAACAACATACATTTGATTTCTCTCTGTCATATCATAATAAGTTTGCTATAATCATGCATAAGGAAGCAAGACTGTCTTCAAAAACATGGAACTCAGTTACTTTTAGTTTCTTCACTATGTAAATTATTTCTGAGACTAATAAATAAGTATGCAATTTTTAATTTTTAGTGATCTTTCTCTAGAAAAAAACATTTAGTTTCTATTTTGATTTAATCGTTACGGTGTACGTATAACTTAAAATAAATAAATTGTAAAGTTTGAATACCCACACTAATTTTTTACGACAATTTACACGTAAAATAAAAACAGAAGAACAAAACCACGAACAAGCATGTCACGCTTTACATTTCGAGAAGATTTGTTTGTTAACATTTTGAGGTGATGTCATCTCATCTCACCTTCATCTTTAACTCTTCACTATAATCTCAAAATACGCTTTAAATTGCAACGTACTCGGTTCGCTGGTTTCAAAGATTATCCATGTAATACAATCCACAACAGAGGCAACAAATAGTTTTTACAAAATAAATCCATAGGAGTAATAAAGCAATTTGTTTAGGACTAAACATCGCTTCTATGTTATAGTACGGCTATAAAATCATAAAAATTCCGTAAGTTATCTTACAAGTGATGGATTTTCACTGCAGTTAAAACTAAAACCGAGTTTCCTCAGAAACTTTATCGGAATTTAATTGACATAAAATTAAAAAAATTATTATTATAGCGATTAAAAGCGATACTATGATAAAAAGCACATACTAGTTTTGAAAATTTTTGTTTTTTTTTGTCAGTTTTGTAAGTTGTGTACTTTTGTGGGCATTTTTGTTAGTCTTATTATTATTATTTTTAATAAAGCACAAAAATTAAATGTGATTTTCCAAAAGTACTATTCCAGCAAAAACAAAGACGTGCTCGAAATTACTAATCTAAACAAATCGCTTATTTTAGTTATTGTTAGCGAACTGAAGAGTTAAAATTAATAGTGGAATATTCTACAATTTGACTTGTGTGAAAATGTTTTATTATGAAGTGCGTAAATGTTATTTTCCACTGTCTTAAATATATATAAATATTAAACGTTCCTATCTATCACTGAGTCCTAATTTAACAGTTGTAGCACTTTGTTATTATTAACACTGGCAGTACGAGTAATAATAGTAACTGTCGACAAAACGCATTTAAACACAATCAGACCCTGTGTGCCTGTTTCAAAATGGCACCATATGGAGTTTATGGAAGTAAGCTTAAATTTCATTTGATGTTACGTTTCAGTAGTTCCATAAGTATAAAAGTATAAGAGCCATAAAATTGGACAAAGTCTTTTCAAAAAGCCTTGTCAAATATATTGATGTCACCTTTAAGTGACATCAATATATCAATATCGAGAAAAAAACCGTCCTCTTTGACCGGATGTTACAACTTGATTCAAACCAAAGCGTCTGAAATGCGATCTCTTCTCTTTCATAAGTTTATCCTGAAGCATCTGCATCTATTTGTTTCCTTTACATAACAAAGAACGTAAACTCTGCTCCTATAAAATGATAATGAACCAAGAAAGATAAGTTTATTAAGATCGCCTAAGACCATAAAACATTAAACGCCTCCGGCAATCGTTACCGTAGAAACGCTCCCTTTTGTTGATATTTAGTCAGTCAAAAAGCAATGTATGAGAACACAAACTCATTAATATTAATTAGAAAACTCAAAATAAGAAGACTTACTTTACAGCAAACAGTAAGACAGTAAAACGACTTAATTAACAAAAGTTACACGTTTTTACACATCTTTGTTTTGTAGATCCTGAAACTTTCCTTCTGTGCGTAATAGCACTTTGTGATGGCCCGATAATGCAAAATTTCCATTCAAAAACCTTCTATTTAATTCATGAATGTGTTTTCGCAACTTGTGCGATAATATTGCCATTACTCCTGTCACTAATGATCGAAATTAAAATGTGATGGTCTAAAAATAAACGGGAGCTTTTAATGCACTCTAATGAGGAGTGATTGCTGCAAATACAAGCAAGCTCTTGACGCTTTGAAGTTATGTTTATAATATTAACATCGGTGTCGGTACAAGTTGCTTAATATTTCGCCCACTGTAGTAGCACTATTTACCAACAGATTTTATCAAAGGCAAAAATATACGATGGAAAGTTACCGGCGTCGTCACTTGTTTATCCATGAATGTTATTTTGTTTTAGAACGATTATTCATTTCATGATATGGAAAATTATACCGTATTAATATTAAATGAGTAAAAAAACATACACAAAAAGTAATTTAATGTTGTCACAGGAAAAATGATTCAAAAACAAAATATGACTGACCTCGTTTTTTTTTAAATTTTCTTTTCTAGCTTATGTGTGCAGTGTGAACATAGAATTAGAGCTAAAGCTCATATAAAAATTCTGAATAAACTTTGGTGAACAACAACGTCAACAGCTTAAAGCTAATTTTGCTGCTACTTTTTTTTATTGGTCAATTTTACTACAACATGCAGAGGCCCTAGTCATCACCTCGGTCTTCGTCGAACGCATTAATCTAGAATCGATTTTACTCAGTTCAATGATCTGGAATTTGGTCAGAGGGCAATGATGGAACTGAAATCAACTAAACGCAGCCCTCAGTCATGGGCAAACCAACAAATTGTTTTGGCCAATCTCTACGCTGCTTGATCATTACGCATGAAATGAGCTATGTTCAGATTTTAGGATTGCAACAAATTTCGGCGAATTTGGTCGTGTTTGAGAGTCTCACTTTTTGTTTTTTGTTCATAAAATACAACGATCATTAAAATGCGTAGGTGTATCTGAAATCAAGAGTGGCGCCATCTGTTCAACCACTTTAAAAACACAGCGCTTGAAGACGATATTCTGCGAGAAAACTCGATGATGTAATAAAAAACACTTAAAAAAACAAGTCATAATTTGCATCTAATTAAAAAAATATATTTAACAATGATCGCTCTTATGACTTCATTTATTTTCTTCTTATTTGTGCAAACCTTTAGAGTTATCATTGTATGTGGAATAGTATCTTTGGAATTGAATATTGGATATCTGTTTACTTAATTAGTTGATTATTAAGTAGTGTTATAGTGCTGAAACAAACGTCAACTTATCCATTGAGAGCTTTACCGTCTACACGATATCCATTGAACAAATCCGTATTTGACAACAACCCGTCTAAAAGCCATGAAACGGCGAAATAACATGAAATTAGCAACTCAATAATGGATTTTACGATATTCTTGCACCTTACGCTCGACAAAGTGTTTTTTTTTTTAATGTGAAAAGACGAAAAAATATTCGTAAAAAATGAGAAAGTTGACAAGTACTTTTTTACTGTTTTTAATTGAACAGGACGGGACATTTTTTAAGTGTGTTTAGATGCCCGATGTGATAGAACTTTGGCACCAAATAAGACCTTTATTGTTACAAAAATAACAAAGATTCTAAAAATGAAAACTAAAAATTGGCAGATTTCGGCGCCTATAAAACACTGCACTTCTTCTCCAATTTAACTAAACGTTCTCTTTGAGTCTCGTCCAAATTTTACGAATTCTTTCAGATGATGCAATTATATTAAGATATATTGAACACGCTTTCCAGTCTATTGCGATGTGGAAAACTAATGACCCAATTGTTATTTATATTAGGTAAAAATCATCTTCAAAAACCCGATAAAATCTTCCTGTTTTTATACGAACTCGTTAAAATTTGTGCATCGTTAGTAAATAGTAGTTTTTCCTTACCTCAGCTTTCACGATCTTGTCCATAATTGTAAACAGCGTTTCATCGAGCTTGCACTTGTGTACACCCTCGAACCACTCGTTCCTGTGTTCATTAGCTTTCTTCAGCGACACGTCTAGATCATTATAAGTCTTTTCAGCAGCTAAATTCTGCAACAAACAAGCTCGCAAATAACCGTTTGATCGATCATTTCCAATCAAATACGTACAATAACGTCAAATTTAGCGTAAATATCAACGAGCCGACCTTCGTTATCTACAATGGGCAAAGCTGAAACCCGCCTCTCGACGAACTTCTTCAACGCTAAAATTATAGACGTGTCCTCGGCCGCAGTTTCAATATTCTCGTAACTACCGATCCTAACTTCTCGTAATGTTTTGTTCATGTAACTAGGTTTAGGAAGTTCGTTAATCTGAAACACGCAAGTAGACATGAGCCCGGGCTGTAGCGGACCAATTAAATTTCTTACGTATAAGAACAAAAATCGCAGTATTCTCTTGTGGGTGAGAATGTAGAGGACGTTTCCCGTTTCCGGATCGATTACGGGTAACCTGTGAATCCTGTTGTGGATTAAGGTCCTGATGGCGTCATACAGGGAGGCGTCCGGATTGATGTAGATCAAAGGACGCTGGTCTTTTAGGACATGTCGCCAAGTATCCAGCTTATGTTCCTCGAGTTCGTCCATGGCAACTGTTGGAGATTTGTAGTACATCCGCAGGATTTTAATGAAGTCGGTTATGGTCAGCATGCCGACGAATTCTTGCCTGCTGCTGTCCCACAACGGTGCTGCTCGAACTCCTGTAACGAAAATACGTGTTTGTGATTGTGAAACCCGCAGAATCAACACGACTCGTTTTTTTTTGTTGTTGTTTTCAGATGTATACAGGGTGTCCCAGAATTCGCGCCATTCCCGTGAATGACATGTTCCCTGTCCCGAACTGTGCCGTAATTCGCAAAAAGAATTGTCCAGGCTTTAACCGTGTGAGAACTGGAAGGCGATTAAGTTGACCAATAGAGAGGCTGCTTTTATATCCGAACGTTTCTATGTTCAAAGTTACCTATGCCAAGAACAAAAAATCGGGTAATACTAAAGTTGAATGAATTTTTTCCGAATCCCCCTCCGTCAACAAAAGGAAACAGAAGTGTGGTTATAAATTTAATCATTTTGACAATTGTTTGTCATAAACTGTCACGAAGTTTATCACTGACCTGAAGAGACGCTTCTGCGCCAAAGATGACTGATTAATGTACACAGAGACGTCAAGGTTTACTTTAAGGCAAGTAGCATGGGACAGAAGTTATTTCTGCTGCCATTCTAGTTAAATTGTGTTTAACTGGGCTGTACATGTCATAAGAGAAGCTGTTTCATTTCATCGTAGGCAAATAATACATTTATTACTATTCTACATAGAGTAGCTACCGAAGAGCAGGTATTAGAAGTCATTTTCTTAGAGCCCCGTGAATAATCGTCGGCACCCAGACCAACATGTGTTTCACCGATTGTTACATCGAGCAAGAGAAGATCTTTTCAACCTAGTCGGAAAGGCCGTGCTGGGGCTCCACGGAATGTACGTGTAGGTGCTGAAGAGCAAGTGTTAGGAAACATGGAAGCGGATCCTAGGAGAAGTGTCCTCTACGTAGCGGAAATTAGTGGATGTTCAAGATCGACCACTCATCGTATCCTTCAAGAGAGAAGACTGCATCCTTACCATTACACGAGAGTGCAGCATCTGCGACCAACCGACTACCCGCGACGAGTACATTTTGCTCAATGGTTACTGCGACAAAATGAACTAAATCCTGATTTTACACGGCGCATTCTTTTCACCGACGAATGTTCATTTTCCCGAGAAGGAATGTTTAATGCACACAATTGGCATTTCTGAGCACACGAAAATCCACATCTCACTAGGGTGAGAGCATATCAGGAGCGATTTACTATTAATCTATGGGCTGGAATCATTGGTACTACTGTGGTAAAAATTTTAATGCATCTGATAAAATTATCAGATTACCTGATCGCCTTAATGGGGATGCATATGCTAATTTTCTACGACTAGAGCTTCCGGCATTGTTGGAAGACGTTCCTTTGAATGTACGGCGGAATATGTGGTATCAGCACGACGGCGCTCCTCCACATAATTCGATACTTGTACGACGAACATTGAAAAGAGTATCGTCATAGGTGGATTGGGCGTGGCAGTACTAATATCTGGCCTCCTAGATCTCTAGACCTTTCTGCTTTGGACTTTTTTTTGGAATCAAATTAAAAATTAAGTATATAGAGAACCCCTAGATATGTTAGAAGAACTGGAAGAGAGACTGCACGAAGCCTACGCTACAGTTACTCCTGAGATGTTACATAATACACAACACAACATAATTCAACGAGCTAGAACTTGCATTGAAGTTAATGGTGGTCATTTTGAGCACATTGTTTAATAACGTTACAGTACAACGATTCCAGCCCATAGATTAATAGTATTGCTCTTGATATGCTCTCACGTTAGCGAAATGTGGATTTTCGTTTGCCCAGAAGTGAATTGTGCGCATTAAATATTCCTTTTCGGGAAAATCAACATTCGTCGGCGAAAAGAATGTGCCGTGAAAAATCAGGATTTAGTTCATTTTGTCGCAGTAACCATTGAGCAACATGCACTCGTCGCGTAGTCGGCTCGTCGCAGATGCTGCACTTTCGTCAATAGTAAGGATGCAGATTTTTCTCTGTAAGGATACGATGCATGATCGATCTTGAGCATCCAATCATTTGTGCCACTTGTTCTTCACCGTCTATGCGTATAATCCGTGGAGCCCCAGCACGGCTTTCCGCATAGGCTGAAAAGATCCATCTTCTTTTGCTGGATGCAACAAACGACGAAACACATGCTGGTCAAGGAGCCGATGATTGGGGAAAAGACCTGTATATTCGCGCACAGCAGTGGCTGCATAGCGTGTACATTCTCCATAAATTGTTTGTATTGTTCTTAAAAAAAATTGCAACTATTGTTATAATTTTTATTCGTATCTTTTCAATCTCTAGAAAGTATGTACTCACAACTTTAAAGAAACTGTCTTAAATCATCATGTGCAACATCAATATTATTCTTGAATAAGTCTCAGTTTTCAGTATCTCCCCCACATGATTGACACCACAGCAGATACCTATGATCTTAATACACCAGAGAAGTGGAGTCTCGTCTATTTTTTCGTTGCTTAGATTAGGTATCAGCAACAAAGCTGTTCAGTAAAAATTGATACTGTTTATTGAAAATCATAATCACTGATTAATCAAAAGCGATATTTATGTTTAAATACACTTAATAACGTTCTTTGAATGGACATGTGGTACTCTTTTTTAGAAATAACGATAAACTTAATATCAGGCATATGATGCATTCTGAAAATGTACTAATTTTCGTTAAAAAGAACAACACATTATTCACGGGGCTCTAAGAAAATCACTTCTAATACCTGCTCTTCGGTAGCTACTCTATGTAGAATAGTAATAAATGTATTATTTGCCTACGATGAAATGAAACAGCTTCTCTTATGACATGTACAGCCCAGTTAAACACAATTTAACTAGAATGGCAGCAGAAATAACTTCTGTCCCATGCTACTTGCCTTAAAGTAAACCTTGACGTCTCTGTGTACATTAATCAGTCATCTTTGGCGCAGAAGCGTCTCTTCAGGTCAGTGATAAACTTCGTGACAGTTTATGACAAACAATTGTCAAAATGATTAAATTTATAACCACACTTCTGTTTCCTTTTGTTGACGGAGGGGGATTCGGAAAAAATTCATTCAACTTTAGTATTACCCGATTTTTTGTTCTTGGCATAGGTAACTTTGAACATAGAAACGTTCGGATATAAAAGCAGCCTCTCTATTGGTCAACTTAATCGCCTTCCAGTTCTCACACGGTCAAAGCCTGGACAATTCTTTTTGCGAATTACGGCACAGTTCGGGACAGGGAACATGTCATTCACGGGAATGGCGCGAATTCTGGGACACCCTGTATACAAATATTTTCACTTAATTAAAGAAATTCTGACTGAAAAAACATTCCTGATGAATCTGGTTTACAAGGCACTCAATTATAAAAATCGTTCGAAAATAAGCTGAAAGCCCGCAGCAACGGCGATGTTCCAAAATAGATCCGGCTGTATACATATTTCAACGTCTCAAAGATTTTTGTTTTGTGATTTTGATTCCTATAACGTTTATGTTATTAATAATTCAAAATTTTAACACGGAAAACAGCCAATATTAATTTATCACATAAAAAATAACTAGTTTGGTGGCTTCATCCATGGTTTATAAACATAGTGTGACTTGGTTAAGGCCAGTAACTGCGCAAGGACACTTTTTTTAAACAAGTTATTATGACGTCCTTTTTAAAATTTTAGTGAAATTGTTCATCACTTATCCCTAAAAATCAATATATCAATTATTTAAGGAAATTTCGTAACGCGGTTTTCACCACTGGCAATGTTTTGGTGATTATTAGTTTTTTTTTTTAACTGAAAACAGTGGTGAAAAACGCGTTCTAAAATTTCCATAACTGAATTTTAAAGAAACGTAATGAAAAATTTCACCAACATTTTATGATAACCTTTAAAAAATGTTGATATTTTATTTTAGATGCATTTTTGTTCTAGTTTTGTCTTTTGTGCTGGCTCGTAATTATAGAAACTCACAACTGACCAAATACACATGTTTGGATTATTCCCAAGCGTATTAAGAAAATTAATGACGCATATACAATTGTTCTAACAAAGTAACAATTCTAAATTAACGTCGTTTTTCAAATCTTTCTTGGAATAATTCATACAGTTCAGATAATAATTAAAAATACATAGCACTGCTCCAAGTTACGTTCCAGTTTTTAACTACAGCAATTTACCGGTCCGTTGATGTTTTTTTTAATGGAAGGCTTTCTCTGTTTTAGATTTAGATCTTTCAAAATATTTGTGTAAAATTAATGACCTTGAAACTTAAGAATTTATTGATTTTTATTAAAACAATGTATTTAAAATGGTTGATGTCAACGATTAGTAATAATACGACTATTGTATTTCCAAATTTTTAGGAAAATGGAGTGAGCCGTCCCTGATTTAATCAATGAAATAAATTGACTCTTTAATTATTATTTTTTTAGAGGGGATAAACAGATTTATTTTGATTACAGATTTACTATGCTTACGATAACTTTGCACGGTCTGTAAGATTTCAAAGCATTCAGTTTGGAAGTTTCTGATTTAATCAATAAAATAAATTGACTCATTCATTAATTATTTTAAGTCACCCTGTATAAGCAATTCTAAAAAATATGAATGAAATGATTTTATTTTATTTTGAGATGACGTCATCAGTTTTTAGGGGGGTCGTAAATGGACAAATTCTGATTAATGATTTACTATGTTTCCGATAACCTTAAAACGTTTCAGCACTCGGTTTTGCAATTGCAAAGTTAAATTTTATTGTAAAATGTTGTTATAAAATTTTGATTTTTGTTACAAAAATGGATGTCTAGGATAAAAAACTAACACGGATTCATAAGCTACAAGTGGAGAAGCATGTTATTTTATAAAATCTAAATTACATTTACTATTGTAAAAGTTGGAGACGACGTCATATTATGATTGGTAGGGATAATCAGACAAATTTTGGTTAGCGTTTTACCATCTAAACGATATTCCTAACATTTATACAAAATTTGACAACAATCGGTCCAGTAGTTTAAAAGACTATCTGATTAATGAAAGTCGACACAGATGCGGACAGACGACACGCAGACAGGCGAAACGAGAGATATTCTATAGATTATGAAACATCGAAAAAACATAAAAATGGCAAATCGTTCGATGGATTTTTTTAGTTTTTTAATTATTTGGAATTAAATCTCTATAAAAAGTAAAAATTTATTAATCTTAATTATGTTTATTCAGTTTTTGAAAAATAAAGAGAATTTATTTTCATTACTAAATAATAATAATGGTGTAATATGTTTACACTATTCTGCTCGGATATTTTTAAATAACGTTTAGTTGTATCTGTTCTTAATATAAAACATTCGTCTGGGCAATAGACAGAACTTGCCTCGCCCTTGAAGTATAGTACAACAAATACAGCTTCTTCGAAAAACTGGTTTTGCGAATTTTATTTTTTTATGATAATCCCTTAAGTTAAAAAGGTCGCGGCAGATTTATAAACCACAAGTTTAGGGGTATGTTATTTTATAAATTTTAAATCGCATTTACTAGGCCAAATTTTGGTTAGAGTTTTACCATCTACATAATATTCCTAAAATACAAATAAAACTTAACAGTCCGTGTAATAGTTTCAGACATTATTTAATGAAAACAACGCTAAATAGAGACAACAGACAGTAAAAAATCAAAAGAAAATTAGCGTTTTATTTGGTTGCAAACATTTTATTGTAGTGAATGTTCAGTTTATTTTGTACGTAGTCTTGTTCTCACAACAAGAAACTTAAAACATGCTCAAAATAATCAATTGGGGGGATTAACTATGTGTATAGTTTTCTGTGAACAACTCCATGCTTCTTAAAAACATGTTTCACGTGGTAATTTCTTGTAGAGAGAAGAGGATTTTGCAATTAAGCTCTGCCCCCCAGCCCACGACGAACCATAACAATTGAGATAGGGCGGGTGGGCGGGACGTATATGTGCTCTTTTTTTGTCTTTTGTAGAGTAGTTAATGGTTTACTATTAATAACAAATTAAAGAACTAATTTTAATTTACATATCCTCATTCTAGAGAAACGTGTTTGGGAAAGAACTTTTTTTAATTGAGTGAATGTTAACAACGTGAAATTATTACTTTGTCTTTTTGTAGCACAAGAAAAAAAGAAAAGTCTTTCAAAAGATGACAACAGACTTCACAAATAAAACTAGATCGTCTGCCAAAAACGACGATGCGAGATTAATTTCATTGCAAGCCACCGTTGACAGATTAATTATAAATTTCGCAATCAACACTATACAGCCTTTCTGATTGGTGATTACACAAGTAAGGTACGTATCTCTTTTAATCGTTTAACAATATTAAAAGTAAATTCCTGAGTAAACGTTCCAAAACATTCACTTTAGAAAAAAAAAAAAAATTGGAGAGATAATGAGAGTTCTATAGATTATGAATCATTAGTACTAATTCTTCTGAGTGTTGCTAGTTCAGAGAAACTGTTTACCATTTAATTGTACTATTTTTCTATAATTGTAGGAAAATTAGCTGTCTCAATTTATAGCTGAATTAATAAAATAAATCTACCGCGAGTGCAATAAAAAAACACGATCAAAGACAGCTATGACGGAAATTCTATCAAAAACAAATCTTTAAAAATCCATTGCTGGTTTTGATGGTGTTTTTTTTTATTGCTCAGTTGGTATTTTTTAAGCCACTCAAAACAAATTGAAAGATAAACATGTAATATCAAAGCACAAAACAACATTGATCGTCAGGACATATTTTTTAATATCCATCTATTTAATAATTTATGAGATGCCGGCATCAACTTTCAGGGCGGAGATGAATAAACAAATTTTAGCGGATGTTCCGCAATGTGTTTTAACAAAATTGGAAATAATTTCATTTTGTGTAAGCCTAAAAATATAGGTCCCAAACAGTAAAGCAGTGTTTCACCTTAAAATTTTAAAGGGAGATTTCCGGTAACAAAATTCTGCGATGGTGTTTTTTGGAAAGGATGGGTGAACAAAAGTGTAGCTGAAATTTCAAAGTATTGCATAATGTCTAATAAAATTGGCAACGCAGAGAGACTTAGAGGCAGCCAGACGACAGACAGAAACAGGACACCGACATTTTCGTGTGGTGGTGAAACGTAACACTAAACATTCGTCAAAATGATGTTTAGACCGCCGAGAAAGTGAAAATAGCTTGAAAGCATCCTACATTTAAATATAAAAGAATAAAAACTTGTTTGAGAAAATTATTGCAAAACTCAATCCAAACAAGAACATTTGAAATTTATTATAGTGGAAGGCGGCACGTCATCATTTTGTAATTAAAAAGAATAAAAAAAGGTGATTCATTTGGCTCAGCCACAGTCTGTCGTACCTGCTGCACTTCTAAATTAAATATAAACACTTATAAGCTATTTTAATGACAATAATTGAAAGACCTTGCCAACCAGTTGCCAAAATCTAATCGTAAATTAACACCAGGTGTATACTGCAACGTAGCTTGGAGATGAAGCAAAAACCCAACAAGACAAGAACCGATACAGATCAAACTAATTTCGTTAAAAAAAAGAAGAAATTTTTGTATATCAGTTTCATGGTACCTTGCTTATATTTTTGTACACATTTTGTATTTGAAATCTTCATAACTTTCTTGACATAATTATAATTATTGTCAGTTTGTTCTTAATTTCGTGTTGACGAAAATTTTTTGCCAAACTCATCATATCGCTTTTAAAAAAAGAAAAAATAGATTTTGAAAATGAATTTTTAAAACAAAGACGTCACGAGTGCTTACGCGATTCCTTAGTTCACACGCAAATTTTGCTTCCAGCTTCCTACACGCGCTGTCTATTTACAAGATAAATTGATTTAATCCTTCCCTGGTTAATTTTAAGTAAGTGATAAAAATTTGTAAACACTGAATTGCGACTGTGTAGAATCTCCTTCTGACTCGACTTTCGGAAAATCCATGACACGGCCTGCATTTTTTTCTGCGTTTAATTGGCAAAAATTCAAGGTGTTTGCGGCTCGGGAAGTAAACAAACGGAAAAGGAGTTATTTATAGTTGTTAACGTTTAAAGTTAATCGGTTATAATGAGTTAAGTACGCACATAACCACAATCTTACCATTGTAGACCAAGGCGAAAAAGGCCTTCTTGACCAGCAGCTGCGTGTCGAAGACGACCAACTTGGCAGAAGTCGGAATGAGATCATAGCACTTGTGGAACTTGAAGAATTTGACGAATATTTGAGATTCATCCTCTTCTGAAACAAGCAAAACACATATTATTTCCAAAATAACACGCACCGCACTGTAAATACACATTCGAACGGAATCTTTCAATCAAACGTTCGTGGAAAAGGAAAAATCAAAACAGTTTAAAACCGTCAATGATCGAATTAATCCCACACGAAACATCAATCAAGCAAGCTTAAAATAAGCTCCAACTGGTGGTACATTTTTTTTTATACCTTGTTCGAGGACATCTGCTAACCACTCTTTATACGCCTGAGAGACGTTCTCGAACTCTTTGATTTCATCGATGCTATAAAAGTCCTCCTCCTCTTCGATGGTGGGCAAATACAGACGAACATGATTTGAGAAAATGTGCAAGCGTAACATGCCCAACGTCACCCACCCACATCGCACAGAACACCTTCTACCGCTAACTTGTCAAAGAAGCAATCTGTCACAGGAGGTTAAGACCGGTGAAAATGATCACTAAGAAAAATCACCGCATGGTTGCCAACAGAACACACGGATTTAAGAGTCCGATAACCACTCAACTAACTGCCAAAATGTTCTTTTTCATTTAACAAGAAATAAAGCGACATCGCAAGTCCAACACTCAAAAGAAGTTATCAATAGATCAAAAGGTCACATGATTAGCGGAGTTTCGACATGATGAAAGTTCTTCAGTGTTTACAGTTTGCGATCATATCAATAACAACAAAATAAAAAACAACGACAAAAAATACGAGCTGCTCGAGATTTAGTGTTCCAGATTTATTACACAATCAGTTGTTGGAAACAATAACAAAACGGAGAATAGAAAAAAGTGTAAACTTCGCGTGGTCTGAGGAAGTGAATGTTTGTAAAGAGCAGCTTTATTTAAATTGAGCTCGGCGAAGAAGTTTTCTCAAGGGTGATAAAACACTTTTTTACTTTATTAAATTTAATACACCGAAGCAGAATTTACTAACATTCGCGTAAGGAGCCCCGTACAACACTGACTGTGGAAAACGTCAAGCTATTATTGGCGATGGACCAGCTGCCAAAATACTGAACTAGCGTCGCCAGTAGTCGATATCATTAGCGGAAAATGTTGTTATTCGGTCCTTGGTGACATGGTTTTACGCTAATTAACAAGCAAAATGCCTTGAATTAATATCTTCGGTGTATAGTGTCGCAAAAGCGCGGAGCAAAATTTTGGTTTTGGGCGCCCTCTATACTTAACAGCCACACACAACGATTCCTTAAAGTTTACGAAAAACAAACTTTTAATAGCATAATCAATACACACAATTTCTGGTTTCTGACATTTCCTTTAGTTTCTAATTAAACAGGTGGACGTTTCTGTACAAACAAAGCTCCACCAACACATGTGCCATTGTGTGTTTTAGTGTTGCATCTGCACTGTTGAAACTAGTTACAGTGAACATGTGCACTTTAGAGGGTCAGTGTATTTGATCTCGTTGATATAATGTCAAAGGTGAACTAACACAATTAAATTATAGTTATTATAATCGAATTCTTTATGGTCCTTTGATTCGCGGGTTGGATTTACACATCTATTTTCGGGTTCATTATCAAGTTCATTATCGACTTTTAAGTCATACAAAATTAATAAAGGTCTTTGTATTCGTCCGTGAAGCGTACATTATTGATGACAATTTGATAAACCTGACGTCCCTCCGGAAGTCCAATGTGTTTATTAATTATTAAATTAGTTTCAAGAGCTCTGTCGGTTCCTGGCATCTTACATTTCGCTTTGATAAATTGCGGAATGTTGGGTTCGACCAAGTACCCATTTGTTTCCCGTTTCAACAAACTCTGATTAAAAAGGAATGCATGTCTTCCTGTTTTCCGGTTCACTAAGTTTTTTAATATTCCGAAGCTCAGTTCCAGTTCCATTCAAAGGTATATGAAAAATTCTGTCGCAAACCTTAATAAAAGTGCACTGCGTGTCGCAAACTGACCTATTTTTAGAATGGAAATTTAGACATGACAGCACAAGAGAAAAATTGCGCTAAAAGCAAGAATTTGAAGTCCAATTATTTTCTTAAAGTGCGTAACTTGCAAAAACGTAACGTTATCTTGCGTATCACTAAATAAAAATCTGTTCTATCTAGTTTGAGTCGTATTGGTCAATGTTGGTTGTATTTTCATAATAAAAAAAATTGACATGGCTTCAAAGCAACACACTTTCAAATACAAATTTTGTAAAATTTCCAAGATCAGAGGTGAATCTCGCCCGAAATTATAATTTCATTCATTCGCCTCATTGGTATGCATTATATCTATTCCCTTAGAACACGTTCCAAACTCATTAAACTGGCTTAAAAGAGCCTCATTTTAAAAATATTTTGCTGCGATAAAAAGAAAACCAGCAACCTATTAATTGTCATGTCAGACGAAAATAAATTCCACAATCACTTTATATCTCAGTTTCCCATAAATTATTCACCCCGTGCCAAGTCCAATTTTTCTAACAACTGAAAGTGCAAGTGTTTGCCAAATGAAAAAAAAAAAAAAAAAAACTCGTGGCAAATATGAAATTGCCCTCGAACCTCGCCATGCATAAATAGGTTAACCTGCACCTGGAATAACCACCGATCTATAAATAGACCTCGTCTACTAAATATAATCATCCTGCATTAACCGATATATTGCAGGAAAACGAGCGAAGTGCAGCTGTATATGAAACGTAACGAGATGATCGACTTCTTTGCGGCTCTGGCCAGCTGCCTAAATTTCTCCATAAAAAATATATTAATACATTGTAACTAAAAAGGTGTTTCCTGTGACATTAACTGTGCTTCGCGGTATCGATCCCGTGACCATTTTTACGGTTTTGTGCGTTGCAAACGACACAGATTTTGACCCAGTTTTGAAAGTTGACTTAATAGCATTGTGGGGGAGTAATTAAATACGGACAAACAAGCAGGAATAATCAATTTTGTGGGTTTGCAAGTGTTGGTTTAATAGAAACGTCACTCGCACTTACCGTCGGTACTAAGTCCAGCTTTTATGTTTGTCAGTCAATCATCCGAAGTGAATATTCAATGATAGGCAACAAACAAATTAAACTTTAAAATGTAACCTTGGGAATACATTGAAATTCAATGGAACATGTGTGTTTGCAAAAAAAAAACTGTTTGGTGTTCAATTATTGTTGAAATTGTATGATTTTCGGTCGAGGGGTAGACGGGGGTGTGTTACTGACTCATATGGAACTGGAGTTTAAGAGCTTTTTTCCCTTATATAAAACGAAATCGATTTATTTTTGCTGTTGTGAACAAAATTCTAAAAGAAACATGACGGGTTACGTATAAGCCGATCGTTGTAGGGTACAATATAAAATAACCTCATTTGACATACACCTTGTAAAACTTTTATGACTTAAGCGGCTTAAGCCAAAGCACCCTTATAAGTCAAACTGGCTATTGTATTACTTAACTCAGTTCACAGCTCCATTATGCCAACAATGGACAGTAATAATCCTTGCGGTTCGGGTCCATACAGCTTACAATAGCCAGTTTGACTTATACGGGTGGTTTGGCTTAAATCATAAAAGTTTTACAAGTTGTATGTCAAGTGAGGTTACTTTACATAAATTTCCGGGTTTGAAAATTAACAACTATGTATTTCGTAGCATCAAAAAAAAAACCCACCCGGTACCGCACACTACCGTACTCTAGGGGACTATGAAACGTCGAGAGTAGATTACGCTCGAGAAGTAAAAAGATATAAATATACAGAGTGAGTCACCAAGTACACGATGCTCGATATCTCATTATTAATTATATCAGATATACAACAAAAAGTCAAAGACCAAGGTTGTATGGTTGTACAGACTATATTAGGGCTAAAACTAGTTTCGCATATGTAGAGTGTTCTGTTTTTAAGGTGTAACACACAACTTAGTTTTTTTTTTTAATGAAACACCCTATGTATTTGTACATATTCTCATTAGCCTCATCCTAGGCTTTATAACTATTGTTGATTTTTGAAATTCCGATGGGGACGTTGCCATTTTATTCCAATTTTCTTAAAATTTTTTGGCAATGGAAGGGTCCACAAAAAATTGCAATAGGGTTAATGTAGGAAGACATAAGACACAATACATGATCGTCTTCCGGGTTGAAACCGTGTAAATTGAGTTTTTGGGCTCAACGTTTCGCACACTTTCGTAAGCATCTTCAGGAGCAGGGTTATATATAGTGGGAAAAGAGCACGGTAACTTAGTATGTTACACGGTTCCAACCCGGTAAAACGATCATGTATTGATTCCGACCGTGGAAGCCTCCGAAATTATTTACATAAGACACAAATTGCAAGAACAACATTTTGTGGAAGGATAAATAAAGGTACGCGCTTGGTTCTGGTATCAATTAAATCAAATTTTAATAAACAGAGTGTTCATAACTAAATCTAAAACTCTTGCTATTTTCAAATATAGATCTTTTACAAATCGACCACCCTGTACTTTATTACTGTATCTTACTCAACTACTACATACTTAACAAATTAAAAAATCACAGTAACCATCAACTTTAAATATAGAAAATACCTAACAAAAAGGAAAGAACAAAAAAAGTGAATAAGATGCAGATTTTTGTGAACCCCTCCAATTGGAATAACCTGGCACGTATTTCAAAAATAAACTGTAGTTGTACGTAATGTTTCATTAAAAAAAAAGACAGTTGTGTTACTCCTTAGAAAGAACACTTTGTATAGTTAAAAATAATTATAGAGTATAGTCCTCAAAGAACCGTACAATTTTAGATAATACATGGTGATATCATATATAAGTGCCCCTTTTAACAACATTCAATTGAGATCATTTCATAAGGTGTATTGTAACGGGTGATCAAAAAGTTTTCAGATTAGAGTTGGCCATGGAAATATTTCTCATGTCTTTGATTAAACTGTAAACGTCAAAAAATCAAATTTTTGAATTACAAATGAAGTTATGCATGACGTTTGCAGTTTCATCGAAGACAATGACAAATATTTCCAAGACCAACTCTAATAACTGGTTATATAAATTCTTAATACTGCGACATAAGTGAATAAAAACACTCATATTAAAAATGGCAAAAATAACTGATTGATCTGAGATTTAACTAACCCTGTATATTTGGAGTGGAAAATTAATAGACACAAAAAAGAAATCCAGAAGAGAAATTAGATTAAGAAATGCTCGTAGATATAAATGTTGCCGATTTTTATATTTCACGAGGAAAATTGGAAGCAAGTAGTTATAAACTCGAACTTTTTTAAAAAGGACCTTCATTGCTCATACTCAAATTTACGTTTTTCCATTAGCTTAATGAATTTTTTTGCAAAATATTATTTTCATTTGGATTTTCAGACATATACCGGGTGTAATAGTTCATCAACTACAACGTAATATTTGTTATTCGAAAAGAAAGATACAAATTTTAAACCAGTTATAAAATGTTTTATTAAAAAAAAGAAACAAATAAAAACAACATAATAATTAATGTTCAAAATTTTAAACTTCAGCCTTCTCAAGTAATTAAGATATCAAATGGAGCAAGTAAATTGGAACAGCCGGTATACTACCACTATTACTTAGTTTGTTGCTGCTATAGATTAAAGTTAAAGTTAGCAGTAATAACAATATCGAAGGATGGCATCAAAAACAGAACTTATTATTTGCCCTTTCTAACTTAAAAAAAAAATGTTCTAAGGTTATTTACACAGAACTTCCCTCGCCCCTGTAGTACAATCCTGCAAATCCCGCTGTTGCTTATAAGTTAAAAAATATATAATAGGTGTAAGTCGCGGCTTACACTTGACACAGTGTAAGCCGCGACTTTCGAGTTACTAGCACATGGCTCTAACCACTGTACCACTAGGCGTTGGTATGCAGTCCGCTTATATTAGTATATATTATATAAGATTGTTATAGAATTTGATTTTTTTTTTCTGAAACTCTGGATGCTTAGGGGAACAACTCAGACAGATTCATAAACCACATATATTTGAGATGACGTCATCAAATTGTTGTGGGTATGACGCTTAAACAAAATCAAATTTTCTAAACTATTTACCAAAATACATATTCCTAATTCGTGTGAAATAATACACAAATAGCTTGCTAATTTATGTAATTTGTTAAAAATATCCTGCCATAACATTATACATATTATATATTTTATTCTTAAACATTATAAAAATCGAAGTCATAAAAATTTAAAAACAGGAAATTTTAGAGAAGCTTATAATCAATGTACCTCATAAACTGTTGCAATAAATGTACTAAATGACTTTATAATTATGTTTATATTTTTTCTACAGTAACGCTTTCAGAATTTGATTTATCTCTGTTCCGTAACTAGTTTTTTTAGTGTATAATAAATTGCAAAACATTGACACCAATACGGTCAGTAATCCGACAGTTTTAGGTATATTTTATATAAAAACGTATAAAACGGAAATTTTTTTTTCGAAGTAAATGTTCCAAATATCACAATAAAGAGGACTTTTTGTAACTTCGATGGTTATTTTTAGTGATAAAAAAAGAAAGTACGTTTCAGTTGAGACTTTTTTTTTAATATATGACACAAACAGGGTAGTTAATTACATATTTCTCAATAAAACTTTTTTTCATGTCCCACATAAGTTTCTGAACGAATATTACATCCTATAACTTTGACTAAACCATACAAACTTCGTATCCAATCTACATAAATCGAAATTCCATTTGCATACTTAAAAACTCTTTCAAGAAAATTTCAAATTCACCACGACATTAAAGACAACAAGTGCTGATGGCACATTTCATATTCGTCAAAACATTAAAAACAACCTATATCCACAACACAGTCAAGAGGTATTTAGAGCAGAGGTATTTGAATACACTCCAAAAACTTGTCTGCACATTCTGAAAATATTTTTGAATTTTTTCTCGCCTAAATACTTTTTAAGGAATGTTGATTATTATTATATAAAACTCACAAAATGTGTTTTAAAATTTTCGCGAATATGTAATTACTAAACTTCCGCTGATAAACTAATTATCTCGGAGTTTGTTCCGTCACCTAATGCAAAGCATAACAAAATTGTTATTCATTAATTACTGCATCGGAGCAACATAAACACATTCACACAACTTCCTAGCTATTAATAGATGTTTGCTAATAGACGAGAACAAATTTAATAAACGGGTGTTGCAATTATTTTAGCTCGAAGTTACTTTTATTGTTAAAATCTAACTCAAAACCTCATGCACCAGTGCTCACAAAGTTCATTAAAACTTAAAAAACAAACAACTTACCTAAATCCGAAATATTGACTTTTTCTAGGAACGGATCGACAACTGGTAACTGAAACAAAGCAACAAGTTACAATGTTATTAATGTAATAAATTAATTAAGCTTTCAATTTTAAACAACTCAATTCAATTACTTCAGACACCAATAATAGCGCAAAACCTTTACCAAAGCCCTTTTGACGAACGCCTTCGGCGACAACAACGGCGGTTTCTTTTTGGCATTAGTGGTAAATCTGGAATACCAATTCCAAATTCCGGAGGTAACAGGCGGCGTGAGGGGCGGCGACGGTGCCGGCGAAATTTTCGAGGCGCTTGAATTACTCTCGAGTGATGAAAACCGCCGAAACATGGTAATTTAGTCCCATCGAACCGTTCGACACATTTTTTATAAATTCCTACGTTTCCGACACGAATAACTTCCTCTCCTTCGAAACAGCGCTTTGGAAATTCATTTTCACTCCCGATTAAATCAACTCGAAACGTCCCGATTTTAGGTTTGTCTGAAACTGAACGATTTGAATTCTAGGAGCTTTTACTTGTAACTATCGCCGACAATGCTTGACCTTGGCCTCCAGTACGCCTGACAAAGGAGAGCTTTTGATGAGAGCGGCCGAACAAAGTTGTCGTTTATTTATTTGTAGGGAGTAGCGAGTAATTGGGATGCGTGCTTGTAGAAGTACTTTTTCGAGTGGATGTTGTGTTTATTTTTAAAACGGAACCAGATGAGGAGACAAGATTCGGCGGTAGCGAGTGTAATTTAACACATTTATTGATTGGACGCGCTGTACGGAGGTGTTGAAATAATACAGGTAATAACGCTCGATTTCCATTTAATTAGACATGTAAAACGTTAATAGGTTTAGGTTTAGTAAGTAGTTACTTCACTCTATTCCATAAAATTGGTTTATAATCGTAGCTAATTACACGTTGACACGACACTATAATCGCGATGGATATAAACATAAATAATAATAATCTTGTTAATTTGGTGAGTAGGAAGTCGTGTTTTCCACGAATGTAATATTAAAAACACAATAATAAAACAAAAAGAAGTTGACAGCAAAACAAGGGTGCAGACTAAATCAGAAAACATCAAAATATATTTTTTTGTTTTTAATTTGCTTTGTGATATTATTTAACTGGAATAATACCGTGATCAAACGAGTGTTTACTCCGGAATTCCATTACTTCCACTTTGAAGTAGTTCTGCTAATAACAAAAATCCAGTGTTGTAAAGCTTCTCAATCTTCTTTGAAAGTTTTGTAGCAGGATTCAACAAACGTGATTTTATTTACAAAGCTAAATACGAAGTACGAAGTTTTACTTCTACCGAGTCTTAAAATTTTATTGCAATTGCGACTGTAAATTCATCAACCACAGTTTACCGTTTTGATGTAACGATCTCTAAACAGACGAAATTTTCGTGGTGCAGCAATGGGTACTTATCCTCTAGATTGAACAAATAAATAGATAAGAACGATTATTTGGGCATTGGCTTTGTAATATTTTTATCCGGATTAAGTGGTTTTTTAATTCCAGTGTAAAGGTAGACAGTACGATAAAGTTGAGATAGACGAAGCTCAGCTATTTATTTTTTCAATAATATGTAACTCTCTTTCGATTTATTTTTATTTTCTTTAGAATTATAGGAGTATTATTGTCACTGACAACTAATATTGTTATAATTTGTAATAACTTTCCTTTTCTTTGAAAATCTCTTTTATTTATACGTTGTGTATTGTTTATTTCTGACGGACCCATTTTTAATATCTATAGGTTACTGTACTTGTGGTTTACGAATCCGCCTTGAGTTTTTACAATAGCCATCCAGATTTTCTCAAAAAAATCCAAGTTATATAGTAACATTTTGCAACAGCATTACATATTAGATAAATTTAAGTTTCGCTCTAATAAAGCAACAAGAAAAGGTGACTCCGGACATCTTTTATAATTTGTAGCACTGATGGTTTAACTGCCTACTATTTTTTTTTTGTTTCTGTCTTAGGTAAGCAAAAATACTTGCTTTCATTAAGACTGTTTTCCTTAAAATATCTCTGCATTTCTTGTACACTCGAAATACTTTATTTTGCGATTTCTGGCATTTTTATTTTTGTAAATAAATTCTTATATACGATATATACACGATTATAAACGATCATACATCACGTTGGCTTTCAAATTTCGTGAATTTTGAGGACACGTCTTGATGATTGATAACAGGCGTCGCCTGTCATAAATTTAATAACCTAACATTTTTAAGCATTTATGGTGTATTTGTTGCTGATAAGTAGAAAATCAATAAGGGTTAGATTTATTGGCTCGACAAAAAAGAGTAAACTAACGACAAAAAAGATGTTTGAAGCACCAATATAATTACAATCTTTTGTATGACAAAAGTATATTTAGTGTTAAAATAGATTATCGAAGGCAAAAGATGATATTAGACGATAAGAAAATATTTTCCACCACAAAAGTGTGAACGTTGAAAAAATTACTTTTGTCGTGAATTCGTTGAAAATGTAGTAGCTATTTTTAATTAAAACTGCTTTAATTAGAAATTAATTGTTATTTTCTTTTGAAGTTGAGTGGAAAATAAACCATTAAGCATTTTTTTGAAAAATGCAAGACGGAAATACTCTGTGGCGTTTCTGCAACGAGAAATTTTATATTATTTCAAATGAAAGGTCAACGGACCTTGTGCCACATGATCGGAAAAAAGGTTGTCTAAAAGGCTATGAAACTTATTTTTGAAATAATGATGTTGACAATAACAAAGAGTTCTTTGTTCAATTTGACATTTTTGGGCAAATAACTGCGAAATAAAGTGTTAAATAATTACAATGCCAACATGACTATTTTAAAAATTAATTCAATGGCTTACTAAAAGACTGTTTTTCGATCATATGACAGCTCAAAACATTGTTTGTTTATTGAGAAACAATGACTATACTACAGCAAATACTCATTTTAAACATCAAATGGGTTTTTCAAAATTTTATATGTCGTTATATGTTTATGCTATAGTAGTTTTCTAACATAATTCAGAGGAACTTGGTGATATTTTCAGTATTTAAAAATGAATTATTTCTCTTTCGGAAAAAAAAAAAACATGTTAACTGATTTATTTTTGTTGCTGCTTGAGAGTGAAAATTCAGCAGCGAAGTGGAATTAACTGAATAACTGATTCACTTTTACCAATAAAGGTATCATCTACATACTCTACTTCAGAAAAAATTAGAAAAAAATGCGGTATATCATTGACGTAGATTAAAAAAAGTAAAGGCGCCAGAATGGAGTCTTGAGGTACCCCATATGTTTGTAAATTCTTTTTTAATTAGATGGTACACCGTGAACAGTGGTGACCACTTGAATTCTATTTGAAAGCATTTTAGCATTCTTTAATCCTAAATAAAATTTATAAATACTCTTTTATCTCACAATTTTTCAAAAAAAAAAATCAAATTAACAACGCAGTAGATAAATTACCACCTGGACTAATATTGTTAGTACTGTTAAAACTCTGCAATAACATTCTGTTATAGAAGTAGTAAAGAATTTGCTACCATTTATGTCTGGTTTATTGTCCTGGCGCTAAATGCGTTACTGCTATATGAGTTTTACAGTTGTAAAGAAACCGTTTGTATGCATACTGCTATATTCAAATTTTTACAAGGACTCCGTTGTACATAATGCATGTGTGACACATGAGATAAATTAAGAAACAATTTTAAAAACAAAAAATCTTGTCATTTCTACAAAATGTCTAAATCATTTCTGCTTGTAAACCAGAGGGACTATCGAATTTTCTTTTTTTAAGAAGATTTTCATCTGGATGAAAAAATCTTGTTTTGCACAATTTTTGTAGCTTTTCAAGCTTTTTGACAGGAATCGTGTTGTGGTAAATCGATCCACGTCGTCAGTTTACATAGGGTCTAGATAAACAATACAGCTCAAGACGCTGGGACCTGGGCCTAGTAAAACTGATCGATCCTGGGAATGTTTGGTTAATAGTTATAGCCGCTTTAGCATAAACACCGTTAAATTTTTTTGCTTGCCATATTTTCGAGGTCGTAACACTCTTGCAAAATAATATTTCATTTGTCACTTGCCAAAGTTGCTTTCCGGCTTTTTAAATTTAGCTTAAACAAACGACTCTTCAAAGACTTATTCCCATAGAAAAAGTACTAAAAGTTTCCATCAACAAACAATCGAAACTATTTATTGTAGTCCCGAGATAATATTTCGTGATGTCATAATTAGTATCAAAATCCACGTCTGTAACTGGTTTTAAGATTAAAAAAATTGTTCAATATGAATACAAAATCGGATGTGTTTATATCTGCTTGTCATTCTTGATGACTATTGTAGAAACTTCAATTTCCATTTTCATCAATAATCTGAAGCACGTCAGTGAAACAACAAAGAGCTAATTTTACACCAAAACAAAGAGTGACCACTCTCACATGATGTGGTTGAAGGTCCATTCTCTCGTCAATTATTTCTAACGAAATTACTTAAATACAGTAGGTGGTAATGAGCAACAAATTAGCCACTCTATTTAACATTGAAATTTATTAAAGGTTGTTGATACTCTAATCGCTCCCGAGCCGTTGAAAGCATGTAGATGAGCTCTCCGGTAATTTAAAACTTTATGCAAAAATAAAGTAATGACCAAATTAACAAGTTTAACGAGTTTAATCAAATAATCAACAGAACACCAATACGATTACCGCAGACGCCTACCACACTTTACACTTGAATAGTCTTCATGCAAAGCAGCTTTACTTTAGAAATAAGACCTGTCCAAAAGCATTGACTGAAGATATCATAAAAACAACTATTATGTCATCGCGATCATCTTAAAAACTTTTCGCTCACGTTGTTCTCCCCTCAAGGTCGCCTACCGTAAACAATAACATTACTGTTGCCAATATTTCTGTGCCTGTGAACATTCGTATCTTGGCTTTTATTTAAAATTCGATAGCGAATGTCAATATTGGACCATATTATCTGTTATTTCTATGTTATCTAAACACAAACATGATGAACCGG